CTTTTTCAAAAAATATCGTTAAAATCGCGTACAAACTGTTGAGAGAGTGTGACATTCATTGCCCTCAAGTTATTTGCCGTCAAAAGGCAGTGAAAATTGTATGTTAAGAGTGAGAGAGTGGCAGAGAGAGAGAGAGAAAGAGAGAGAGAGAGAGAGAGAGAGAGAGAATTTAAAACCCAGAGAGAATGGATAGTAAGAGAGGGGAGAGAGTGGTTGTGTTGGAAGTGATTGGGGATGGGATGGGGGATGGGATGTAGCGATTGGTCACAAACTGCATTGCCTTGACTTTCTGGCGAGAGTTCAAACGTGTTCACAGCTCTGTCACAGCCAACAGACCCTCACTTACACTAACTCTATGTCTTACCACAGATCAAGTCCATAGACAAACAAAAGCGTTGATAAATGTTATGAAAGAAATGTTTGGTTCAGGAGTACACCTCCTGTGAGAGAGTGAGTGAGTGAGAGAGTGAGTGAGAGAGAGAGAGAGAGACCATTAATTTGTAAATTCCGATGTATTCCCGACTTTATATAGCAGTCTATTTGCAAGTCCTTTAACGCCAATACCTCCTCATAATTATATTTTTCATTCAATACATGCCTAACCGACGCATAACTTACTATACTTTCCCATAACATGTAAGGCATACTATCCGCTAAATTATGCATAAATTCCTTGAGTTAACAGATAATCAAAAGGCGTTTTTGTTTAAACAAAGGAATTGATTGATTGAAAATATAAATCATATTAACATTGTTTTATTCGCTGTTTAAATGAGATTTTATTTCTATTAAATGATAACAAAAACAAATAATATTCAATATTATTTACAATTAATTATTCAATTCATTCATTCAGTACTAATTCAGACATTTAGAGATAATTAGTCTTTTGACTAAAAAATAAAAGATTTTTTCATAACAGGTATTCATATCAGCCGTACATTACTTTTCTCGTGTTTCAAAGATATTAAATGAGATTAAATGTTACTAAAAATAAGGCTATAGTTAAGCTAAAAAATATCGCATTAAACACAAACTTTTAATGAATTGCTAAAATACAAAAATAAAGTAATTTAAACAAACATTAAGTTTATAATCAAAACATCAAATGATTATTTTTTATATTTAAGTTATTAAAAAAATTAAACTTAAGAAATGAAAGCTCTTGTGTTTTGAATGAAAGCTCGTATTTCATAATTCATAGGATTTGTTATACACATTAAATCATGAAAAATGTTTAACAAAAAAGTTTTTTAATCCAAAATAATCTTCACTATAATACTCATATTCAAAACAAATCCTACGAAACATATCGCGACTTAGTTTGAGACCGAAAGACAAGAATGAATGAGAATTTTATTGTAAAAATTATTATCACTTAAGAATTGACTTTAAAAACAAAAATCAATTATCGATTTTATTGAGTACATCATCAAAATGACAGTAATTAGACCATTGGTTGATGCGGTCGGTGACGGATAGGATGAGCTCTTCCTTCCAGTAGTGGACCCGTCGCTCGACAAAAGACGCCGTTTTGACGCAATCGTCGCCACCGAACTCACAGACCCGGTAGTGGTGGAGAACCGCCAGCCGGGGATCGACGTTCACCATGAGTTTGGTCGGTAGGAATTCCCACACGAAATGGTTGCCCATTTCCACCACTTTGTCCGGCATTACGATACACTTTGACCTCTGTTTGTGTAAATTTAATTGACTTTTTCGTCGTGTTTTGAGCAGAGTTTGCAACCGATAGCCACCGGTCGCCGCAGTCGATACGGACCTGTCGTCCGGCCATTGAGAGTAGAAAAAGGCGTTACGAAAGGAATAGGCGCCCGTCCGCGAGCCATGAGCCCTACTCATTGTCTGCAGCATTGAGGACAGGGATGTGTGTCTGTAGGGAATGATGAGTTCGTCGATGTCTATCATAAGCGCGTATTTGTATCGATTGGCTGTCCGGTAGAGGCAGTCATTGAGTGCGGCGAACAGACCCTCCGTACGGATTTCCTTCTGGGACTCCATGTCCAGAGTCCACGACTGCATTGTCACGAGTCCTGAGGCGATGTACTTATGGAGCGCACAGTTAGCCTCCCGGCCTATGGTGTGGTTGTATAGGAAGAAGTGTTTGACACCCAGAATGCGATTCAATTCAATGAATTCAATCAAATTGAGGACTTTATTGTAATCGTAATGCAATGGCTTTATACAGACAGCGATACTGTCGTCACTCAAGAGGTCGTTATTATGATTATCGCCGGAATCGTTACCACTCAGAGGCCCTCGAAAAGCATTATTATGAATGAGAAGTTTGTTTGAATGCATAACACTTTGTTCGTTGATATCATTTGAATTGTCTCTAATGAATATGGAGACAGTGACGGGAACCGGTAGGTGAGCGAAGAGGGGACACAGTATAAAATAGGCACTATATTTGAGATTCCAGTTCTCGTGAATCAGTTTATTCACGGCATTCACTCGCATCGGCTCATAGGTGTTAGCGAACCATAGCTTGCAATCTATGCATACATTTATTGTAATCATCAGAAGTGCACAAATCGTTTATCTCACTCATTCTCTCTCTCTCTCTCTCTCTCTCTTTCTCTCACTCTCTCTCTCTCTCTCTCACTTAATCATTGGCATCAATATAATAAACAGCACTTAATATAATAAATACTCACAAACTCTTTCATCAGTTCTAGTCTTCGTGGCGGCGATTATACGAATGAAACGATTTTGTCGATTCCTGCCGTCATAATAGGCGGAGTAGACGAAGAACTTGTGCCGCGAGTGCGACACTTCCTGCCAGTGATCATCGACTGTCGCCCCGGAATAGACATCTTTATTATGATGATTATTATTCTCATAAATATTATTACTTTGATTTGTTTGAGTTAAGACCACATCCACGGCGTTGTGTTTTATATCGAAAATTCTGTCTAATTCTTGAACTACTTTTGGCCCAAATATCAAATCGCTTTTATCGTCCGATTTTTTGCTAAATAGCCTAAAACGGCCTAATATTCCGTTCTCTTTATCCATGTCATTAAAATTCATGTCATTATTATTATAACTATTTATATTATTATTATTATTAGTCTTTTCAATCGATAGGATTTGGAGAATAATCATTAGCGCAAAGAATGCCGCGAATACTAGCGCTATATATAGGGATCTGTTCCGAGAATTACCATTAGAGCTACCATTCCTATAATAAATTAACTTTCTATTCAATAAATACGATAAAAGTCTATTTGCTTTCCCTCTCCTCCTAATCATTTTGTTTTAGGCGACGACTTGTCTTTTCTCTCTTTTTGCACTTCAAATAAAAATAAATCTATATATTTGTGTCACAATTAAAATGGGATTTGATTTTTTGTTTAAATGAATTAATGAACATATTTTTTCTATCACTTATACACGTAGAAGACATTGATATATATTTTTATTATTTTTATTAAATAATTTAATTTATTTAAATAGTTGATTTTATGCATTCATTATGAATACTGTTAGAAATTTGTTGATAAAATAATTTTCGGTTGAGATGTGTTCACTAAGTATTTGTTTTTAGTAATCGATACGTTTGTCTCATGAGATATCATTTTTTACTGATAAAAACTTTGTGTTATATAAAATCCATAGTTATTTTGAGTCGATATTATGTTTGCAGAGATTTAATGAATAAATATATTCGTCGTTTGAATTGAGAAATTGTCTTTTATATCGTGAAAGTCATTTCAATAATAGGTTTGAAAATCTATATTTGAAAATAAAACACACAAAAGACGAAAGAGATTTCATGAGTTAAATGAATTGAATTGTAAGAATTAAAGCATACAAAAAGGGTGACAATAAATATTCCCATGCTATCAGTGCTATGTTGTGTATTATTGTACTGAATTGTCATGTACTGTATGGCGATGTATACAATAGTATAGTTATTTGCAATCACCTGCTATTCATCCACAGGTGTAACAAACAGCGATATTACAGTTACAGTAAATGTGTTTCAAAAGTTTTGTGTATTGAAAAATTGTGCTGCACTTCAAATAAAACTTTTCGCTCCCAAAATCAATATAACTTAATAGCGACACAACTGTTATAAACATTTGTCGTTCAATTGGAAAACTCTCAAGTGTAGCAATGAAAAAATAAAATAGAGTATAGTATAATACTTATAGTATAAAAATAAAATGTAAAATAAATATACGATATATTTTCGAAGCAATTGTGCCGTGAATTTCGACACTAAAAACTGATTTGAGTTTCCAATTGAATAAAAAGGGTTTTTAGTTAATACTCATCTTTTCAATAATAGGTTTGAAAATCTATATTTGAAAATAAAACACACAAAAGACGAAAGAGATTTCATGAGTTAAATGAATTGAATTGTAAGAATTAAAGCATACAAAAAGGGTGACAATAAATATTCCCGTCCTATCAGTGCTATGTTGTGTATTATTGTACTGAATTGTCGTGTACTGTATGGCTATGTATACAATAGTATAGATATTTGCAATCACCTGCTATTCATCCACAGGTGTAACAAACAGTGATATTACAGTTACAGTAAATGTGTTTCAAAAGTTTTGTGTATTGAAAAATTGTGCTGCACTTCAAATAAAACTTTTCGCTCCCAAAATCAATATAACTTAATAGCGACACAAATGTTATAAGCATTTGTCGTTCAATTGCAAAACTCTCAAGTGTAGCAATGAAAAAATAAAATAGAGTATAAAAATAAAATGTAAAATAAATATACGATATATTTTCGAAGCAATTGTGCCGTGAATTTCGACACTAAAAACTGATTTGAGTTTCCAATTGAATAAAAAGGGTTTTTAGTTAATACTCATCTCAACCTCTCTTTATTCATCATTGATTTCAATGAATGCTTAAATAAAGGCTGACATAAGTAACAGTACTTTCCAATTGTCTTGTTATTGATTTGGGCATAAAAACAGTCTCATTGTATGGACAGTTGTCTTATGTTAGACGGGGCGTGAATAACGCCTTTCTATTGATTGATTTCCAATAAATAATAAATTATAAGTGTTTTCGTGTCAAAGATATCTAATATATTGAATAAAAACGGGACACAAATTATTTGTTTAGCCCTATAATATATATTACGGATATTTATCAATATCTAACCAAAAACTCGAGCCTTTAATAGACTTAAGAATATTTCACGAATTGATAAATACATCAAACGTATGGTTAAACTTATTAAATATAAGAAAACGTGAGTTTATATACTTTGTATACACTTTCTCTAACTGTTTATTTTGTTAGTATTTAAGCATTAATTATGTATATATTGACTGATCCGATGATAAATTGACTGTAAGCTAACTCACAATACAAATAGTCTTTCTTAACAAAAAATATATTATTTATAGAAAATCAATGTAATGTCCGCTGATATAAAGTAAACAGTAATTTATTATTAGAAAATAAAAACGAAACTTTCCGATTAAATAACATTTGTGTTTTTTGTTGAGAAAAATTTATTAATAAATTACACCTAAATTACAGTATAGAGAGTAGTTAGCAGCACTGATAGCATGGTAGCACTGGTAGCATGTTTTATAGCAGCAATTATAATGAAATGCTCTGTGAAATCATTAAAATTTTAGTTTTCATATATTACACAAAATAATCATTTATTTCTA